ACCTGCTCACCAGAGTGGAAGAACCAGGAGCAGATTGAAGATGAGAGTGGTGCAGAAACTCAAATACAAGAGAAGAGAAACTGGAGAGGGACCACAGGAGATGACGGTACAGAGACCCAGGCTCCTGGGGGAGATAACCAGGGACAGTTAAGAACTGAGATTGATGGAGAGATCCAGATACAGCAGCAAGGGACCCAGAATAAGGGTGGAGATGAGAGCCAGAGAAAGTGCAGAGCTAAGGATGTTGCTGAGGGCACTCTACGAGTTGATTGTTCTGGGGGTGAGGGGCCCCCAGCCTTCACTGGCTCCTGATATGGGGCCATGGAACAGGAACAGGCAGTGGTCTCTGTTCCCTGTCCTGAGATGAAGCCTCTCCCCAACTGAGGTGAACACTGCCTGCTTGCCAGGGGGGAGGGAGAGCATTTGAGCAGCCAGAGCACAGCCCCTGCCAGGAAGCACAGAGCGGGGGTTAGTCCAGCCTTGGGGCAGGCCCAACCTAAACCCCATGGAGGTCGACAAAGGGACAAAAGGGTGGATCCTGGGGAGCCTTCTGGACTGACTCACCGACTCCAGAACCCACAGTCTCTGGCTGCTTCCCTGGGTTTGCCCACTGCCTGCCCCTCTGTCTCACACGGCCAAGCCCCTCAGTTGCCTCAGCTCTGGTGGGCGCTTCCACTGCCCCCACCGTCCTGCCCGAGTAGCCAGTCCTCAAGAAGAGCCAGAGACTGCTCTTGGAGTGACTCATGCGGCGGAAGATTGCACATCTGAAGTGGGGCCTCCCCCAGCGGATCCTGGAGTCCCATTTGCTCTTTCATCTCCTGGGACCTTGCCCACTGCCCCTGGTTGAGGTGAGGCTCCTTGGATTATATTTAGCCTGGGAGCTGCAGGAAAAGCACTGGGAGGCCCAGGGCTCCAGACCAGGCCTTAAGTGCCCTGAGAGGTTCCAGAGGGCTCATCCCCTAGAAAGAAAAAGCTCAAAACTTCCTACACAGGCCCAAACTCTGGAGAAGTGTGGGCCGCACAGATGGGAGCCCATGGGAGGTTCTGTCCATCCTGAAGAGGCCCAACGAGTCCGGCCACCAGGGGGCCCCGGAGAACTACAGGTTGTCCAGGAAAAGTTTCCTACTGGGGCCAAGCTCCCTGCTCCCAGGAAGCCTGCAGCAGAGTCTAGGAGCTGGTGTGTTCAAGGGTCCAAGAGCCTGCCAGTGAGTACAGTAGGGGCAGGAAAATGGTCAGGCCAGGAGTCTCCCAGATGGCAGACGGAACTCCCAGCAAAGTGAAGACCTCATACCCTAGGGCAGGCCACGACCACTGGAGGGAGGAGTACACATCACAGGAGGCCTCTAAGCCCCCAGACTCAAATCTCAGCAGCCCACACGCTGGAGAAGAGGAAGCCTAGAGGCTGCAGAGGGCGAGGGGCTGGGCAGCCACCTTCTTCCTGTTCCACAGACACTTTCAGCTTGAAAAGGAGTTTCCACTGTGACACAGCGAGGCTGAACATGACCTTTCCGAACAAGATATCCTGGTCCCCACAACTGGCTGAGTCCCCACACTCAGCTCCCAGCCTGAGCCTGAGGGATCTCGATCCTACCCTACTTCCCCAAGCAGGTGACCCCCACACAACAGAAGACAGCACAGGAATCTGTACTTCTCTGAAGAGGGACCTTCAGCCACCAGGTCACTGCTGTGCTGGGGCTGCTCTTTCCAAGACAGAGAGCCTCCAGAGTCAGGGGAACCCGAGAACCCACATGGGGCCCCACAGAATCCACCAGCCCCCAAAAAGTTCAGTTTTATGAAGTGTTTGAGGTGTTTTCTGCTTCAGCATCACTTTAGAAAGTAGTCCCTCAAAAGAGGCTCAGAACATGTCAGAGAAGGTATGAGAAGAGCCTGCTCACCCCCCAAGTCTCTAATAAAATGGGTTATTTGGGCCCTGTGGGGTTCTGATTTCCTTAGCATGTATTTTCAGAGTGATCCCTTTGGGGTTTGGGATGCTTTACGGGTGGAGGAGGAGCTGGGGTAGGTAAGGGGCATAAAGAGGCACAAAATCTCAACATAATGTAAGCTGTCATGATGGAAGTGCAGCGGGGATAATACAGTCAATGGTTTTGTAATGCCTCTCAATGTTGACAGACAGTAACTGTACTACTACTTGCGGTAAGGATTTAATAATGTGTGTAACTGTTGGATCACTGTGTTATATACTTGAAACCAATATAATACCGTGTATCAATTATACTTTAAAAAAAAAAACCCTGAAATTTATTCTTTCAGAATTCTGGAGGCCAGAATCTGAAATCAAGATGTCAGCAGGACTACACTGCTTCCAAAGGCTCTAGGGGCGATGAGTTCCTTGTGTCTTCCAGCTTCGGGTGGCTGTGGGCATTCACTGGCTTGGGGCGCCATCACTCCAATCTCGGCTTGTGTGGTCACATTGCCTCTTCCCTTACTCTGTGTGTCTCTTCTCAAGACACTTGTCACCATATTTAGGGCCCAGTGGATACTGCAGGATGATCTCATCTCAAGATCCTTAACTTAATTAAAACTGCAAAGATCCTTTATCCAAATAAGATAACATTTAGGTTCTGGGGATTAGTAAATTATATTAGTCTGCCCCAGCTGCTATAACAAAATTCTTTAGACTGGGAGGCTGAAACACCAGAAATTAATTTTCTCACAGTTCTAGAGGCTAGAAGTCCAAGATCAAGGTTCTGGCTGATTCAGTTTCTGGTGAGAGCTCTCTTCCTGGCTTGTGGATGATAACCTTCTCACCATATCCTCACATGGCTTTTCATTGGTGCATGTACATGGAGAGATTAAGAAATCTTTATCTTTCCCTTTTCTTATGAGGCCACCAATCCTATTGGATTAGGGCTCTACCACTTTAATTATCTCCTAAAGGCCCTATGTCCAAATAGGTCATTTTAGGGGTCAGGGCTTCAACATCTGAATTCAGGGGACACAATTCAGTCCATAGCAGACATGGAGATAGCTCTTCGAGGGTTTCCATTCAACCCATTACATGGAGTAATTTACTATGCCGCAATGGATAGATACTAAATATATATTTGTATTGTAATACTTTGCTTATCTGTCTCCTTGACTGGACTTCTAGTTTCTTGAGACCAAGGACTGTCTCTTGTTCACTTTTGAATCCTCTAGCTCCTAGCACAGTTCCCAGCCCAAAATTCTGTGAAAAAGAATACATGCTTTGTCAAGATTTGAAAATACATTGAATATTTATACATTGAATATTGAAGATATATATGATATGTTTTTTCTCTGAGAAAAGCAGCTTACAAAATTTGTATATTGCTGTTGTAAAACTGTATAGAAAAAATCTAGAAGAAAATATATCAATGCATTATTTTTTATTTCCTTTTTTTGTTATGATTATTTTATTTTTCATCAAGATATTCAAAACCATGTAATCTTATCCAAACTTTCATCTATCAATGATACAGTTTTTAATTAAATTATAGGTGATACATAATATTATATTGGTTTACGTGTACAGCATAGTGATTCAACAGTTACATACATTAGAAAATGCTTACCACAGTAAGTATACTTACATCTGTCACCATGCAAAGTTATTACCATGCTATTGACTATATTCCTTATGCTGTACTTTTTATCCCCATGATTTATTTATGTATAACTGGAGTTTGTACCTCTTTATCCCTTTCACCTATTTCCCGTCCCCCCTCCCCTATGGCAATCATCAGTTTGTTTTCTGTATTTATGAGTCTATTTCTGCTTCATTTGTTTGTTTTTAGATTCTACATACAAGAGAATTTGTTTTTCTCTCTCTGACTGGCTTCACTTAGCATAATATCCCCTAGATCCATCTATGTTATTACAGATGGCAAGATTTCATTGTCTTTTATGGCTGAGTAATATTAATGGGTTGTATGGTATTTCCATTTTTAGTTTTTAAAAGAACCTCCCTGTTTTCTATGGTGGCTGTACCATCAATTGCACAAACAGTGCACAAACATCCCCTTTACTCCACATCCTCTTCAACACTTGTTATTGTCTTTTTGATATTAGCCATTCTGACTGATGTGAGATGATCTCATTGTGGTTTTGATTTGCTATTTTTTCTTTTACTTTCTTCATTGAGCACGTATTACTACTATAATGTCCTTAACATGTGTTGAATAAATTTTTTATTTTACATACCTATACATTAATCTGCCTCTTTCATGCACTTAGCATTTTAATGAGAATTTTTCCATGTTAATATCTACTTTTCTCAAATATTACTTCATAATATTCCAATTGACTATAAACCATTGTTTTCCAAACTTTTTTGCCATGGAAAGTATTTTTTCCACTCAGTTATGCTGCTTCTGAATGTAGAAAACACCTCTTGAATTTACATCCTTCAACATTAACTGGTTGCTGGGCATTTTGGTGCTAAATAAATTATTGTACATTGATGGATTGTTATTAATACATTTAATGATAAACTATTTTCACTTCTTTGGTATTCTTTATGCCCTCACAGTCTCAAGTGTGTGTAGCCCTCTGTGAGAGGGTGTTTTAAGGGAAACGTCTTAGATTCTTTGAGAGTAAGTTATCAAGGAAATTTATACCAAAAACTAATACCAATAACTTCTAGATAAAAATTCCTGAGATCGCTTACTTAATTTTTTAAATAGTCGAAGTAGCTTGCTTGCTTCGTTTCCTTCCTTTTTCAAGGCTAAACACAGCTTCTTTATAAATGCTTTCCAACCTTCGGTGTGGTGGAGACAAGGATTCCCGAGGCCTCTAAGAGCAAACAGCTTTGAGGTTAGTTGCCCGCTTTCCAGGGTCCCTGCGTCTGTCACCCGCCCTCGGAGGTCGCTACTCCCCTGAGATTGCCTAGGACTTGGTTTGCGCAGGCGCAGTGCCTCCCTCCACCCCGGGCTCCGGCACAGGACTGTTACAAGTGCGCTTGCGCACAAGCTGCGCGGGAAAAGGTGCTGCGGCCGAGGAGAGCGAGCTGCGTGCGAGAGATGGCCGCGCGCGAGACGACAGCACGGCCTCCCGGGCCCGCGAGGGACGAAGAGACGGCGCTGCTCTTCGAGAGAGCCCACCACCGGCACGACCCGCGCTGGCTGCTGCCCGTGCCCCCACGCCTCTGCCTGGCCTGCGCGCTGGAGCTGCTGCCGGAGACCGGCGTATCGGTGCGAACTGGGCCCTGGCGTTTGCCTCGCCAAGCAGGGCAGCCCCTCGCCAGACCAGCTCCCTTGAATCCGACGCGCCCACCCTGAAAGTGACCCAGCCCACCCACCTCGTTAAATCTACCCCCTAAGCAGGCCTGCCCCCTCACCCGCCAGCGCGGCCTCCGTGTGCCCCACAGCCTGCCCCGGGCAGAGGACCCCGCTTGCAGACAAAGCCCTGCTCTCGGCTCTGCCCCTCTGTCCCCGTGGGCACCGAATCTGGGGCGCCCAGGGCCCGCCGAGACCCCCTGGCCTGCATTCCCACCTTCCCCTCCGCTCGTCCGCCCTTGCCGTTTGCTGCCCCTCGCGTCTCTCCGGGCTTTAGCCTTGGCTCGGCTCGTGGGCCGGGCCACGCACCGGAGGGGGCCCCTCACAAGAGGGGGCCCCTCATTCCCTTCCGGTTCCCGAGGGGCTAAATGAGGAGGGCGCCGCCGTGGCTTCCTCGATGGCGGGAGCGTTGGGTGGAAATCACAGCCAGGGCAGAAGTGGGGTGACGGGGAAGAGCGTTCTGATAGGCACAGCTGGTTGGAACACGGGCCCCTGTTCCCTCAGTGCCCACCTGCCTTTGCAGGGAGGTTTTTGCCCGTGAAGGTGCCCAGGAAAGTGGGCGATCACTTCTCTCAAGTTCATGGGAGGGGGTGTGCTTTGCGTGGGAGGAATGCGGTGGATCAGCAGTTCTCAAATTTTTGATCTCAGGATGCCTTTACCCTTTAAAAAAGTGTTAGGGACTCCAAAGAGCTCTTGTTTATGTGGGTTATATCTACTGGTATTTACTGTATTAGAAATAAAAACAAAATTTAAAAATATGAATCCATTAAAAAATAATAGTAAATCCATTACATGTAAACCTATTCCTTTTATTGTGGCAAAATATACCTTGCATAAAATTTACCATTTTAACTGTTTTAAGCATATGGTTCTGTGGCATATAAGTAATTAAAAAAAATAAAAATAACTATTTTCCTAAGTAAGAAAACACAGTGAAAGGATTAACTTAGTTTTACATTTTTTGCAAGTCTCTTTAATGTCTGGCATAACAGAAGACAGTTGGATTCTCATATGGTTCTGCATTTAATCTGTTGTGATACATATGCCTTGTAATCATTGAGAAACTCCACTGTACATTTGTGAGAATAAGAGTGAAAGAGGCAAATTGCATCTTAGTTATTATATGAAAATAATTTTGATCTCATAGATGCTTTGAAAGGGTTTCAGGCACCCTCGGGAGTCTGCAGACTATACTCTGAGAACTACTGGGTTAGCTGATAACATGAGATATAACTGAGGCCAGAAATTTCGAGGCTGCCGTTTTCAGACAGTGAGTCAGAGATACAGAGATAAATTAATGTGGTAGGGGAGAGAATAAGAGAACACTAAAATTACTGGGAATTTAGAAGATGGGTATATTATTTCGTGGTCAAGTGCTGTGTGGAGAATTACGAGGGGAATTAGGAAAAAAATTTTTTTAGAGGGGGAGGCATTTGAATTAGGCTTGAGAAGATGGGGGAGCTTACCCCAGGAGGTAGGTTTTAGCAAGGGTGAGTTTGGGGAAGTAATCAGTGTTGGAAGGGAAATTGAGGGAGGTGAGATTGGATAAGCCAGTTTAAGATCAATTCCTGGGGGAGTTTGAATCCAAGCTAAACTGCTTGGACTTAATCTGCCAGGTGAAGAGAGTCATTAAGATGTTTTTTTAGTAACTCATTTAGATCACTAGCTTAAGGTATTACACGGGAGGAATTGGTGAAGTTAACTGAGACTTATGATAACAGGTTAGAGGCAATATGAGATTCAGCTTCTCTAGCTTTTACTGAAGACATTTTCCTTAGCTTCAGCTCTCACCAGTTGAAGGGGTGATGTGGTTAGTTGTACCCATGTTCCGGTTCTGTCCTCAGTGCATACCCCCTTTTTGTCCTAATTTTTGCTGTCTTGAGCACATTGCACAGTTACTACCCAGTTCCCTGTACAGGGCGGTGAAGTGAATGTGAAGATTTTTGTCTACATTGAATTGAAGGATGCTTTTTCTCTGCCTACCTCTGTGGGCTCATGAAGGGTCTCTAGTATCACTCTCCTGGACTATTAAAGTGAAAAGAGCACTAACCTTGGACAAGACCTGGTTGGAGACTTAAAGTCCTTAGGAAAGTCTCTGAGCCTCAGTTTTCTCATCTCAAAAATTGTGATAATAATACCTGTTTTTGATTGCTTCACCAATTTATTAGGCTTAAATGAGCTAGTTGACAGAAGAATGAGTTGTGTACACTGAAGTGCTGTGTAAATATAGGGTATTAGGAACCTTCTGTATGAACACATGGATTTCTGTGTATAAATGATGCCCTTTTCCATACTCCCTGAAAGGGATCTTATAGTTTGGATTATCTCCCATATTATTATAATTATATTTGGAAATTACAATTGTTTGCATTCAGAATGGCTGAGACTTGAATATTGTCCCTATTGAATATTTTTCTTCATCTGCCCCAAGTTGGTGCGCAAGAAGCATGTGCTGTCCTGCTTGCGAGATGCTCTCGTGAGGCATGCCTCCCTCGTTGTGCAGCTGGTGGCTCAGGATCAGAGAGTCTGTATCCACTTCATAAGCATGCTTTTCGGTGAGAAACTTGGCATAAATTTTGAACGTGTAACATGTATAATTGAAGAAAGGGTCTTGGAAAGATAATTTCGACTTTTTGCAATGTAGCAAAAAGTTCAACTTATCAGCAAATTGTTTCGCTGTAAATGATGAAATGGTCCCCTTTCTAAGACACATGATGTAGTGTACGGTGACTGGTTTTACTATAGCTAAGAGGTTAGTAAAAGCATAAAGATGAATATAGGAACGTGTAATCTTTCAGAGTGCAGTGTGAATGGTCTTCGAACAGGATCAGAAGGTCCAGACTGGAGTCCGCTGAGCTAGATGTGACCCTGATTGAATTACTTCCTCTCTCCTGTGCCTTCATTTCTTCATTTGTTAAATGAAATGGATCAAGAAGCCCGTCTTTTAATACAATGATGATATCTAACTTGTATTGGGTGCTGTACTCTGCTAGAGGCTTTTCAGGCTTTTAACTCCCAGACCAGTCCTTTCAGGAAGAGAGGAATATCCCCAGGCTCAGGGAGGTCATAGCTGACAGATGGCAGAACTGGAATTTTACCCCTGGTCTGTTTCAGACTCCAGAGCACACAGTTTTTATGTTGTACCACATTGTGTTTTTATTGTTTTTCTCCTTTTAAAGCCAGAGTGGGTCATTGAAAGTCTAGGTTATTTGGTGCTGTGGATAGAATTCAGCTGGGACATTGCTTAAGGCTGTTATTAGCCTTGAATTCACAGTGTGCCTTTGTCTTTCTCTTTTAACTATTAACCATCCCCCTCTTACCTCCCTCTGCTCCAAGGACTGTTATGCAATGTGGAAGATGGGAATGTTACAGACCTCTGTATTGAAGGTAAGGTGAAAGAGTGTGTACCTGGCATTTGAAGCTGGGGATATTAGCCTGAATTGCAACTCAGTTTATTTGAGACATTGATGAAATGTTTCATAAGAGATGGATAAACACTGTCAATCTAATTCTACATTTCTTTCTTGGACACATAATCTGTGTCAAGTACTGTATCAGGTCCTAGAAATACATAGATAAGACACGGTCCCTGCCCTCTAAGAGTTTACAGTCTGAAGGAGAGACTGGCTGGTAAATAACAGGAGCTAATGAGTGCTGTTACAAAGGCATGTACAAAACTCTGTTTTCATTACATTGATATTGGTTGATTGGAAGTTGTTTGCACATAGGTGGTGGAAGCACATAGCTGTAGAAGCGTGTGTGGTGGGTTTATCTATAATGGGTTCAAGGAGAAAGAACATAAGAGCATTGAGATGGGAGGATCCCAATTTCTTGCAGAAAGCAAGAACTATCAGTTACAGTCTAGTCAGGAGACAGAAACAACACCAGTTTTTTTAACAGAAAAAACCTCTACAGAATTATTAGTTAGGTGACTTAAGGTAAAAAGAGAAAAAGAGAAAATCAGGTGTTTGCAGAGATAGCAATTTCAGAAAACAACTCTCACCCCTAGCGCTGAAGAAACAAAGGGAGGGGTTGGAATCATTAAAACTTACAGTTTTAGAGGAAGGACTCTATAATGAAACTCAGACCTCTAAGATGACCATTCAGCCACACAGTTAGCAGCTGTAACTGCTAGCAGCCCTAACAGAGCATATGGCCTTCTGACCATCTCCCAGTCTAGACAGTGTGGACAAATAAATGTACTGCCTGAAGTTCTGACCACTGTTAGAGGGGTGGGGGATTTCCCTTCACCATTTTCCTCAAGGTCACTTCTGAGTGGGGCCATAATCCTAAAGCCTCCACATCTGGCTGGTGACAGCACAGCTTGCAAAGCCCTCACAGACCCCAGAACTTCCCTGAGGTGGTGGACACTAGCTGGAGATCGCAAAGCAGAGAGAGGACTTGCTCCTTCCTCTTCTGTTTGCTTCCTGCCTTCTTTCTGTTTCTCTGTCACCCTAGATTGCCGCTTCTTTTCTTAGAAGGCAGAGTCTTCCCACAGCAGCAGCTGAGTATAGTTTGCAGCTTTTCCCACGCTTACAAAGCCAGCCTCTTCTCTACTCCTTCTCCAAGACACCAGCAGAAACATCACAAATGATTGTATAGAACAGTTGCGTTTGGGGTTGAGAGATAATATTATGGGCAATTATTAGGAGAGGAACTCACTTATAATTCTGTTTTCTAGAATAAGAAGGAACAAATTTCTAGGAAGGAAAAAAGTAGAGATAATATAAACTTGCAGTTTTCAACCTTGGCTTCACAATAAACTTACCTGGGAAACTTTAAAAATATCCAGATGCTTAGGCTCTTTCTTTAGAGATTCTGACTTAATTGGTCTTGGGTGAGACTTGGGCATTAGTAGTTTTTTAAAGCTTCCTAGTTGATTATAACGTGTGTTTGTGAACCACTGATATAAAACAAAGAAGAATCCAGAAATCCTTTGGTTTGAATGTGCACACATAGTTTAATGGAGGAGATAGAAAAAACTAATACCAGTTAACACAAGCAAATGATTTTGAGTAGCAGGGCTATGAAAGGTGAACTCTGGGCCAGGGGTTGTCTCCATTTATTAATGCTACTGTGTCTGCTCAGTTCTTATCCAGCTCACAACTCAGCTGAAGTTAGAGCAGACCATTCATTGCCTGCTGGATGAGTGCCACAAAGAGGTCAGTAAATAGCTGTGGGTTCTTGAGTACCCCTGAGAATCCTCAGATGTCCGAGCCGGGCCAACCCTTCTTTGGATAGATGGGGATCGAAATCCAGAGAGGAAAAGGGGCTTCCTAAGGTCACAGTGTTGGTGACAGAGACAGAGCTAGGGCCCATGTCTTGTGATCCTGCTCCAATACTCTTTGCAGCTTCCTTCCTTCCCTTCTCAGTCCCCCACATGCTACCTCCACGTGGTGAAGTCCTATCTTTCTGGCATAATCATCCCATGGCCATTTTCTACATCCTCCTAAATACAATACAGGTTTCCTTGATGAATTTACCAAGGAAATATGTTCACTGTGTATTTTTATTTGGTTTGAATTGTATACAATATTTTGTACTGAAGGTATTTGCTTTTATTAGCATTTAAGGTAGGTACTGAGCGGGTATGTTTAACTTGCTTTCTTCAGTGTAGTCAAAGATATCAGTTAAACAAGCAGCTTTTGCATTGTGTTTAAGATCTGGAATAGAATCAGAATAATAATATTTAATTTTTTCTGCAAAGGAAGACAAATGTTCATGTTAACACCAAGAGCAACATTTAATTATAAATTAAGTTATCATAATTGCTCTGCATGTGATTAATATATCAGATTAAATTTATTATTATACCTATCAGTACTTATCATGATGATGCCATGTGACACTTTTGAGCACCTTCTGTGTACATGTCATATGTCATTCAGTCCTCCCAATAACCCTATGAAGTTGGTACAATTATTTCCCACCAGAAGACAGGTGCTACAGCTAGTCAGTAGAAAAGGTGAAATATATACTGACTCTTTCTGTAGAACATTAAACATAGTGCCTGGTACATAGATTGTTCAATAATAGTAGCTGTAATAATGGTGATATGGATAATAATAATATATGTATTTTTTGCACTGAGCCAGAATTCTGTTTTTATGATGTTTGCAGCTTTACTCCCCAGATTCTTGTCCTATGGGAGACAAAATGCTCATTTTAATTCAGTTTAAAAAATATGTACTGAGGACTCAGAGGAATCTGACTTAGTCCCTTTCCCTTGGGTTTCCCAGTCCAATAGCAGAGATAGACACTTAGCTAAAGAGGCTGATTACTGATTGTGGTAAGAGACACACACAGTACAGGCTTTGGTGTAGACAGGGCAAATTTTGGTAGGAGATCTGCCCTGGTCCTAATTTATAGAGTGGAATGTGTTCACTTCCTGTAGCTGTGTAATATGCCCTCCATGCGAGGCAGCCTGGCCACCCTGACCCTTCTTGGCAAGTTGGTGGATGCCATCCCTCCTCTGGCAGACAAGCTTGTAGTGAAGCATGGTGAGTGATTTCTGGGGAAGAGTTGCCACTGCCCTCTCATTTGCTTTGATCACACTTCATCTAGGTGATCCATTCACTATATACACTGGGGTTGTCACTACCTTCCTTCCTTCTCAAGGCTTTAGTTTCCCCATCTGCAAAATATGCTCTGTGTTGGCCAATTTGAAAAAAAGTGTTTCTTGACTCTCGTCTTGGGCTATTTTATTCATTATTTTAACACATAATTAATTATCTACTATGAACCTTTCATCTGGATGGAAGGAGGAATTAATTCTGGAATAAACAAACATGTTTTTTTCAATCAGGTATGTCACAGAGGATTACCCAAGGGTAAATTACTTAACTTCTCTAAGCCTTGGTTTTACCTTTTGATTAAGTGCCTAAAAATAATTTATTGTGGGGAATTATAGGGGATTACTATTACTACTCCATTGGGGGCAGTAGTTTGGAGTTTCACATAGTAGTTGACATTGTGAGGTTCCCTCAGCCCTTGCTTTTTCCTGGACAGGTGATCTGATGGAGCATCTGTTGAGAGGCTTGGTATACCCCAACGAGGGGGTGCAAGCTTCTGTCTGTTACCTCTATGGGAAGTTGTACTCTTCACCAATGGCAGCTGAGATGCTTTCAGGCCACTTCCGGGAGAAACTGTGCCCTCTCTTCCTTTCCATCCTGGATGGTGCCCAGACAAGAGAGCTAAAGATCAACTGCTTAGGTAATACATGGAATTGGAGAGAAAAGAGAGAGCTTTTGAGGTTTTTCTTGAGGACTTGAGTTACTGGCTCTCTAGTGGTGGGAAAATTACTGCTTTTCAAAGGTTTGAAATCAGGGGTTTGGGAGATAAGATGCACAGATTGTGGATGATGCCTAGTATTAGGTGGCATCTTATGAGCATTTCCCTTTGGAAGGAGAAGAGTAAATCCTCTTGGATTCTCAGACCCAGTTCCAGTGTCTCTGTGTGTATGTGTAAGGGGGTTTTCCCATGCGTGACACCAAGTGATTCTCAAACACCTGAAAACTCAATTCTGACACTATCTTCCTAGAGACAGCAATAGATCCCTCAGGTTAAGGACTCCATCCTACAGGATTGTCCTCCAAACTCCACTTCAGACGCCAGTCACAAGCCCCAGGATGTTGCCTATGTTTCTAACCAATTGGCTACAGATTGGAGGTTCCAAGGACCTCCCCCTTAGATTTGATTAATTTGCTACAGTAATTCACAGAACTCAGGAAAACACTTATTTTTTAAAAATTAAAGTAACATTGATACACAATCTTATGATGGTTTCAAATACACAACACAGTGGTTCAGCATTTACCCATATTATCAAGCTCTCACCCCCTCCAGTACAGTCACTGTCCAGCAATGTAGTAAGATGTTACACAATCATTAACCTTTTTCTCTGTGCTATATTACCATTCCCATGACCACCCTATATTGTGATTGTGAATGATTGTGCCCCTTAATCCCCTTCTTCCTACCCCACCCACTCTCCCTAACCCTTCCCCTTTGATAACCACTAGTCCCTTCTTGGTGTCTGTGAGTCTGCTGCTGTTTTGTTCCTTCTGTTTTGCTTTATTTTTATACTCCGCAAATAAGTGAAATCATTTGGTATTTGTCTTTCTCTGCCTGGCTTACTTCACTGAGCATAGTACCCTCTAGCTCAATCCATGTTATTGCAAATGGTAGGATTTGTTTTCTTTTTATGGCTGAGTAATATTCCATTGTGTATATGTACCACATCTTTATCCATTCATCTATTGATGGACACTTAGATTGCTTTCATATCTTGGCTATTGTAAATAGTGCTGCAATAAACATAGGGGTGCATATGTGTTTTTGAATCAGGGATCTTGTTTTCTTCAGGTAAATTCCTAGGAGTGGAATTCCTGGGTGAAATGGTATTTCTATTTTTAGTTCTTTGAGGAACCTCCATATTGCTTTCCACAATAGTTGCACCAATTTACATTCCCACCAACAGTGTAGGAAGGTTCCCATTTCTCTGCATCCTCCCCAGCATTTATTGTTTCTTGTCTGTTGGATGTTGGCCATCCTAATTGGTGTGAGGTGCTATCTCATTGTGGTTTTAGTTTGCATTTCCCTGATGTTCAGTGATGTGGAGCATCATTTCATGTGATTGTTGGCCATCTGAATTTCTTCTTTGGAGAAGTGTCTGTTCAGGCCCTACACCTATTTTTTAATCAGGGAAAACACTTATGTTTACAGATTTATTAAATGATACTCTAAAGGGTCCAAGTTAATAGCCAGATGGAGAGATAAATGGGGGCAAGTTCCCAAATAAAGGAGCTTCTATCCTTGTAGAGCTTGAGGCCTGGCTGGGTGGCATGTGGAAGCATTCCGAATCCCCAAGCGTGGAAGCTCTCTACACAGAGAAGTAGGATGCAAAAAGGAAAGTAAAATCCTCTTATGGGCTTTTGTGAGAGTTTCACTGCTAGTCATGATTGACTAAATCATTGGCCATTGACTGATTTAACCTCCTGCTCTTAGGTGGGGTCCAAAAGTCTCTCATTAACATAACAACACACCCATTTCAACTTTATCGCTCTGAAACATTTTCAGGAACTGTGGATAAAGACAATATACACCTGAGTGATATATTTTGGTCATTTTAATGACCAAATATATATTTCTTAATAAGTTATTATATTGCAGGAAAGAAAGTGGGACAGCAGTTTTTCTGCTTCCAGTCTTTACTACCAGCTCTGGTGCATCCTCTGCTTGCTGCCAAGTTAATTTTCACACTGCACAGCTTAAGTCCTGTCAGTTTCCTATTTGGAAAATCATCTATGGCTCCCTCTGGCCTCCAGGGTGATGTCTCTGCTTGTTATTTGAGAAACCTAGGAGCCCCAGTTTACCTTTTCAGCCTCTTTCTCTGCTACTTGCTTACATCAGTACATAAGATATACTAAATGCTTCCTAGCAGGAAGCTTTTCTATTTTGAACATGGCAGATGGGTAAGGGGCCGTTCCAGATCAAGTGCTACAGGGAAAAGCAGAGTCTATGGGTGACAACATTTTCTTTTCATATTGGGCCAAGACTTCTGTTATAAACAGTCCAGCCACACACAGTGAATGTTCATTCTAAGACAGGCCCTATGCTGGGCTCTGGGGTCCTAAGATGACCAAAACCAAGCTCTATTCTGAGGGAGCTCATAGTCCAATGTAGAAGACAGATGTGGACAATTAAAGTCCAGTGTGGTAAGTGCTATCATGGTGGCTGCACAGAAGAGGGTGGGAGTCTATTCAACATAGTACTAGAAATCCTAGCCAGAACAATTAGGCAAGAAAAGAAAAGCCATCAAAATCAGAAAGGAAGAAGTAAAATTGTCTTTCTTTGCAGATGACACCATCTTCTATATAAAAAACCCTAAAACTGTACCACAAAACTGTTAAAACTGATAAATGAATTCAGTAAAGTTACAGGATACAAAATCAATTGTGTTTCTATACACTAACAACAGACTATCTAGAAAAGAAATTAAGAAAACAATCCCATTTACAATAAATAGCATTCAAAAGAGTAAAATAGTTAGGAATACCTACAGAGACATGATGATGTTCCTAGGGGATGGCAGAGGGGCTGCCTTGAGTGTACTCTGGTGCCTGCACTCCTCTCACCCCACTTCCCAGTCCCTTTGTTTTCTAGGTTTGCTGAGGCAGCTGCTGAAGTATGACCTCTTTGTGTCCATGATTATGAACAAGTCTGGGCTGGCAGAAAGTACCAGAAGTGTTGAAGAGACACCAGGAGAGACCTCATTGCCTTTGGTGCTCAAGAAGGTAATTGTCTTGTGACTCCTGGTTTCTAGGTTCAATAGCAAGGGAACTTGAATGCCTCTTTGACCTTGTCCTTATCCACTGCTCCTTCTGTCTAGGATTTCCAGACTGTTTTCTTCCTGGCCCAAACAAGACACCATTAGAAGACTCACCTCATCCACTGTGCAGATGCTCTTCCCCTTTGCCTTTAAAACCTTTCCCCTGACTGAGCTCTGATTCAGCCTTTAAAGCCTGGCACCGTGTCTCCTTCAGGCAGAGTGTGCCCCTCTGTCATGGTGCTCACCTCACCGTATTGTGGTTGATCGACCGGTAGCTTCTTCAGGGCAGGACCTGAGTCTGTCTGTCCGTCTCCACAGTGTTCAACACAGGGCTTGACAGAGCTACTTATCCTCATCTTAGACCTCTATTCTGGCATTTTGTCAGAGTCATCTAATTCTATTCCTTCCTGCTTTGGGCTGATATCAACTCATTCTCCCAAAATTCAGGTCTCTGGGAATGTAATGTCAATATTTGTGTTACTGCTGCTGCAATGTTGATTCATTCATCTAGTCCATTACGTACTGAGCACTAATATGTGTCAGTCACTGTGCTGGACACTGGGAATATCATGGAATGTAAACAGATTGGAAGTTCCAAGGACCTCCCCTTTAGATTCGATTAATTTGTCACAGTGATTCACAGAACTCAGGAAAACACTTCTTTTTTTTTAATTAAAAATTTTTAAATTAAATTAAAAAACATTAATACACATTCTGTGTATTAATGTTCTTGCTCTTGCAGTCTGGGGGAAGGCAGATAAAAAACAAATAAATGAACAAGGGGACTAACTATAGATTGTGATAAGTGCTATAAAGTACATAATTTAAGAGAAGATGAGATAGTAGCAGAAAAATCCTACAGGTTGAGAGGTCAGGCTGGGCCTCGCTGAAGGACATTTGAGCTGACACTTGAGTTAAAGTAAACCACTGATCAGTTATATCTCAGTGAAGCTATAAATAAACAAAGTGACTTAGTGCTATGAAGAGTAAACAGAAAAGCATTTCACGCAGAGGGAACACCAAATAAAGGTCAGAGGAAGGGAAATTCTTGATGTGTTCCAGAAACAGATGGAGGCCAGTGGGATGGGGTGGGAGATGAAGTGGCCCAACCTGAGACTAGAGAATAAGCAGGGAAAGTCATGCATGTCCTCATAGGTCTGGAAAAAAATTAGCATTTTTCTAAAGATAGATTTTCATTATTTTATGATGGAAAAATAGAGTTGGAGTATTTCTTTCTCAACATGATATAGAATATGCATTTTAAACCAGTAATTATTTTGCTTAATGATAACATATCATTTTTGTAAGACACATTTTCCCCCCACATTTTAAGAGCTTTGAAATTAGGAGACATTTTGCCATCAATGGTGTGTCATAGTTTAATTATAGCTCTTTTTCTTTCTTAGAGGTACATAAAATAATGGTTTGCCTTACATCACTAGCATATTAAAAATACATGTCATTTCCTACAGAAAAGAGAACAAGGTAAAGATCAATATCTAGAAAAGTAAACCACTGATCAGTTATATCTCAGTGAAGCTATAAATAAACAAAGTGACTTAGTGCTATGAAGAGTAAACAGAAAAGCATTTCACGCAGAGGGAACACCAAATAAAGGTCAGAGGAAGGGAAATTCTTGATGTGTTCCAGAAACAGATGGAGGCCAGTTGGGGTGGGAGATGAAGTGGCCCAACCTGAGACTAGAGAATAAGCAGGGAAAGTCATGCATGTCCTCATAGGTCTGGAAAAAAATTAGCATTTTTCTAAAGATAGATTTTCATTATTTTATGATGGAAAAATAGAGTTGGAGTATTTCTTTCTCAACATGATATAGAATATGCATTTTAAACCAGTAATTATTTTGCTTAATGATAACATATCATTTTTGTAAGACACATTTTCCCCCCACATTTTAAGAGCTTTGAAATTAGGAGACATTTTGCCATCAATGGTGTGTCATAGTTTAATTATAGCTCTTTTTCTTTCTTAGAGGTACATAAAATAATGGTTTGCCTTACATCACTAGCATATTAAAAATACATGTCATTTCCTACAGAAAAGAGAACAAGGTAAAGATCAATATCTAGAAACAACTTTACATGTTAAAAGAAAGGCTGAGTGCGTGTCCATTTTTAACTCTAATATGACCGAGATGGATTTAAGCTTGCAGGCCTCAGATGCTTTTCTACTAGATTTAAGTGTAAGTTGGTCCTTTTCCTTGGAAGCCCTAAGATCAGGTACACTCTCTTTTGTCTTGTGATATATGTTCTACTCCTCATTTTCCCCAGAAGGCCAGTTTCTACTACACCTAAAATCTGGTTGTAGCTAACCCTTTCCTTGATTTCTGAAACTATTATAGGAATTCCTAATAGTTATTGTGTCAAGTAGGAGTTTGGAAGTTATTCAGAGTACAATGGAAATTCACTGAAATATTTTGAGTAGAGGAGTAACCTGATCTAGAATTTTGATGGGGGAAGCATTTCAGTTGCGGGAAGACTTCTAGATTTGGACGTGGCTGGCCTGGGTTTCTACTTAGCTTTGCCACTTATTAGCTGGGTGGCCTGGAGTAAGTAACTCAACCTCAGTGAGCTTTAATTTCATGCTCTGTGTGTTGAGGGTCTCCAAGACCACCCCTGGGTGTGATAATTCACTAGGAGGATTCATAGGACTTAGTGTAGAGTCAGACTCACGTCTATGATTTATTATAGCTAAAGAATACACAGAAAAATCAGCAAAAGGAAAAGGTGTTTGGTCAAGTCCAGGGGAAAACTAGGCACAAGCTTCCAAGAGTCACACCAGGAGAAGACCAGAAGTCACACATGAGGCACTTTATTTTTTCAGCAATGAATTTGTGACAACACATGTGAAAAGTTGCCTGGCAGGCAAGCTCATTAGAGTCTCAGTGCCCAATGTTTTTTTTATGAAAGTATCATTGATATACAATCTTATGACGGTTTCACATGAACAACATTGTGGTTTCAGCATTCACTCATATTATCAAGTCCTCACCCCACCATTGCAGTCACTGTCCATCAGTGTAGTAAGATGCTATATAGTCATTACTTGTCTTCTCCATGCTGTACTGCCTTCCCTGTGACCTGCTTATATTGTGAGTGATGATTATAATGCCCCTTAATTCCCTTCTCCGTCCCTCCCCAACCTCTTTCCTTTGGTAACTGCTAGTCCCTTCTTGGAGTCTGTGAGTCTGCTACTGTTTTGTTCCTTCAGTTTTGCTTTGTTCTTATACTCCACAAATGAGTGAAATCATTTGGTACTTGTCTTTCTCCATGTGGCTTATTTTACTGAGCATAATACCCTCTAGCTCCATCCATGTTGTTGCAAATGGTAGGATCTGTTTTCTTTTGTGGTTGAATAGTATTCCATTGTGTATATGTACCACATCTTCTTTATCCATTCATCTACTGAAGGACACTTAGGTTGCTTCCATATCTTGGCTATTATAAATAGTGCTGTGATAAACATAGGGGTGCATATGTCTTTTTGAATCAGGGATCTTGTTTTCTTCAGGTAAATTCCTAGGAGTGGAATTCTTGGGCCAAATTATATTTCTATTTTTAGTTTTTTGAGGAACCTCCATATTGCTTTCCACAATAGTTGCACCAATTTACATTCCCACCAACAGTGTAAGAAGGTTCCCATTTCTCTGCATCCTCACCAGCATTTATTGTTTCTTGTCTGTTGGATGTTGGCCATCCTAATTGGTGTGAGGTGCTATCTCATTGTGATTTTAGTTTGCATTTCCCTGATGATTAGCGATGTGGAGCATCATTTCATGTGATTGTTGGTCATCTGTATTTCTTTGGAGAAGTGTCTGTTCAGATCCTCTGTCCATTTTTTAATAGGTTGATTTGTTTTTGGGTGTTGAGTTCTTTGTATATTTTGGATGTAAACCTTTATCAGATAAGTCATTTATGAACATTTTCTCCCATATTGTAGGATGCCTTTTTGTTCTGCTGATGGTGTCCTTTGCTATACAGAAGCTTTTTAGTTTGATGTAGTCCTATTTGTTCATTTTTTATTTTGTTTCCCTTGTCCAAGGAGATGTGTTCAGGAAAAAGTTGTTCATGTTTATATTCAAGAGATTTTTGCCCATTTTTTCTTCTATGAGTTTTATGGTTTTATGACTTACATTCAGGCCTTTGATTCATTTCCAGTTTACTTTTGTGTATGGAGTTATACAATAATCCAGTTTCATTCTCTTACATGTAGCTGTCCAGTTTTGCCAACACCAGTTGTTGAAGAGGCTGTCTTTTTCCCCTTATATATCCATGGCTCCTTTATTGTATATTAATTGACCATATATATTTGGGTTTATATCTGGGCTCTCTATTCTGTTCCATTGATTCTGGGTCTGTCCTTGTGCCAATACCAAATTGTCTTGATTACTGTGGCTTTGAGGTAGAGCTTGAAGTTGGAGAGTATAATCCCCCCAGCTGTATTCTTCTTCTCAAGTTTGCGTTGGCTATTTGGGGTCTTTTGCGGTTCCATATGAATTTTAGAACTATTTGTTCTAGTTCCTTTAAGAATGCTGTTGGTATTTTTGATAGGGATTGCATTGAATCTGTAGATTGCTTTAGGCAGGATGGCCATTTGACAATATTAATTCTTCCTATCCATGAGCATGGGATGTGTTTTCATTTATTGATGTCTTCTTTAATTTCTCTCATGAGTGTCCTGTAGTTTTCAGAGTATAGGTCTTTCACCTCCTTGGCTATGTTTATTCCTAGGTATTTTTATTCTTTTGGTGCAATTGTAAATGGAATTGTTTTCCTGATTTCTTTCTGCCCGTTCATCATTAGTATATAGGAATGCAACAGATTTCTGTGTATTAATTTTACATCCTGTAACTTTGCTTAATTCAGTTATTAGTTGTAGTATTTTTTTGGTGGATTCTTTAGGATTTTTATGTACAATATCATGTCATCTGCAAACAGGGATAGTTTAACTTCTCCCTTACCAATCTGGATGCCTTTTATTTCTTTGTGTTTTCTGATTGGCATAGCTAGGACCTCCAGTACTATGTTGGATGAAAGTGGTGAGTGTGGGCATCCTTGTTTTGTTCTGATCTCAAAGGAAAAGCTTTCAGCTTTTTGCTGTTAAGTATGATGTTGGCTGTAGGTTTGTCATATATAGCCTTTATTATGTTGAGGTACTTATCCTCTATACCCATGTTGTTGAGAGTTTTTATCATGATTGGCTGTTGCATTTTCTCAAATGCCTTTTCACTATCTATTGAGATGATCATGTGATTTTTGTCCTTTTTGTTGAAGTGGTAAATGATGTTGATGGATTTTCAAATATTGTACCATCCTTGCATTCTGGAATAAATCCCACTTGGTCATGATGGATGATCTTTTTGATGTATTTTTAAATTCAATTTGCTAATATTTTGTTGCTGATTTTTGCATCTATGTTCATCAAGGATATTGGTCTGTAATTTTCTTTTTTTGTGGTGTCTTTGTCTGGTTTTGGTATTAGAGTGATGTTGAGTGCCAACATTTTTATTGGAGTCTGGTTGGTCATGCAGGCATCCTCTGCTTTGCATGTGCCAAAATTCCAGACTCTCAGAAAGAGTGCACATGTTCAGCATGAACTACATTGTTTGCACAAATAGGTTAGTCAGTGAGGTATTCTTACCAGTTCTAGGGTGGGGGGAACCCTGCCCAAATTTAACTTTCCAAACCCAGTTAGTGGTCAACCTTGCACACAGGGCCTTCTCAGGATAACAGTCTCAGGCCTGCTACATTAACTCTTCTGTATACTCTGTAAAGTGAAGCTCTTCCTCGAATGTGCCCTTGCTTTGTCCCAGGTTTGCTGCAAACATCAAAACCAGATAAGGGCTTCAAAAGTACTTTTGTTAATGAAAGTTGAGCCCTTCTTGGTGGTGGCATTTGTGTTCTTCGAGTGCCATTGTGTTCTTCTATTCTATTTCCAGCCTGCTGCTGTTCATAGAGACTGCTTTCCATAACCCTTAACTGCTTTCCCTGAGCACCATCCTTGTGCCTGGTGCTGTGTTAGTGCAGTAGGGATTCAGAGATGACTCACACACCCTGGCCACTTCCCCTGGGTCCTGTCAGGAGCATGACTGTGGCACTATATGCTGCTTGTTTTTCCAGCTTCTCCTCTCAAGAGATGAGACTCTGCAGGTGGCCAGCACCCACTGTATAACTGCGGTGCTGGTCCCCTCCCCAGTGAAGCATGCCCTGGCCTTCATCCATGCTGACATCCCAGGTAGGGAATGCCTTCTAACTTTCTCCACTGAGGCCCCCCAAGTTCTGACTGGACCAGTAGCAGCAGTCCTGTTGGGGGTTGGCAGGGCACACAAGAGGGATGGGTTGGTGGCAGGGTCAGTTGTGCATGACAGACTCTAGGAAATAGGACTCATAAAGTCTGAGTCTTCTTGCTATAGACTTATTATCTGACCTCAAGCAATCTGTTACTGACTTTTGTCATTTATTTGACCATGAAGGAATAAATGAAGGTGGTACAAAGACCTGGGGACCAGGCAGGTGAAGGGAACTGATGTTTTTTGAGTGCTTGTTATAAGCCCAGAAAAGCCCTGAGGTGTGCTAAGTGCTGCCACATTTAGGTCCTCATCTTTGCTCTTTTGTGGATAAGGAAATTGAGGATCAGAGAAGGGAAATAACTGATTTAAATCAACAGGGCTAGTCATGGCACATAAAACAGGACTAGTCAAGGTATATAAAAATAAAGCCTATTTCAGCTCTTAACAGTCTTTATATCATGCTGCTACCCATCCTGAGAATTAGGAGACCTGAGTTCTAGTCCCACTTCTACCACTAACAATACCTCTCTGGATCTCAGTTTTTCCATCTGTTAAAAAGATGACATTAGACTGAGGGTGTTTTCCAGGTTTCTCCGTGAATTAAATAATCATGTCTCATGGAGAGGGTGTGTGAACAATGAAGGAACAGGTGTAAGATGCTGTATAAATTCAAGGCCCTGGCATTAGTTAAGGGATCATGATCATACAGCTCTCCTTTACTGTTTTCTCCCCATCTCTCCGGCCAGAGTTCCTCTTTGAGCATCTTTCCTCTTCCAGCGAAGTGCTTGTCTGGTCCAGCTACAACTGTTTGATACTCCTGGCAGAAGAGCCACTCTTCTTTTCCAAGTGCCACACGGTGTACGGTTGGTAGTGAGGGCCCTGTACTAGCTCTGGGCTGAGTGGACAGCACTTTGAAGTTGGGTGGCAATAGCAGAGATGGGGGCTAGCCTATACCTTGGAGGAAGGTGCAGGGTCTGGTCGTTTCCATCAGCTCAAACTCATTACCAGATTCCATGAGCAAGCAGTGATACCAACAGTTCTTTTCACTAATTAGCAGAAATATATATGTTTAGCAAGAGAAGGGTCCTCCTGTTAGCCACTAAGTGAATTTGTTGCATCTTAAGAACAGCTTTACTCAGCCTTGGATTCAGTTTTTTCCTGTGCCCAGATGTATATCCATCCAGTCAGTCCTAAATTTTGCTGATTCATCTTTTCAAAGTTTCTTGAAACTGACCCTTCCTCTTCCTTCCTAGTGATACTTTCCTTGTCTGGGACTTTTTATTTCATATCTGGATTTTTAGACTGGGCACATTCTGTCAATCATTTTATGTTCTGTGTTCCTATTCCATGCCAGGCACCAGAGTGGGACCTGGAGATTAAGAGAGATATATAATGTGGTCCCCGTCTTCTGGAAGGGGAGAGAAATAAGCTGACTATGGCTCTTCTGGAGGGACACATAGGAGGTGTGGGAGCTCAGGGTAGGCACAGAGCTCTCCTTGAGTAGATCAGGGAAGGCTTCCTGGAGGACTGCGGGTCTGACCTGATTTCTGAGGAGCAATAGGAATGTGGCTAGTGGAGAAGGCACAGCTCAGTCACTAGGCATTCACTAAATACCTTGATTGCCAGGGCCTGTGCTATGGCTTGTGCTGGATTTTCAGGAGACAGCAATGAATCAGATAAAAGCCTGTCCTCAAAGATCTCACAGTCCCATCCCATCAGCTCAGCCTTGTCAGAGCCCATCTATGTGAGGCTGCCAGCAAATATGTTCTGTCCAGAGATTCTCACCTCTCCTGGGCAGGCAGGGAAGGAAGTATCAAGCCTTAATCCCTGACCTCTGCCATGTTTTTTTTTTTAAGGTATCATTGATACACAATCTTATGAAGGTTTCACATGAACAACATTATAGTTTCAACATTCATTCATATTATCAAGTCCTCCCCCAACACCCCATTGCAGTCACTGTCCATCAGGGTAGTAAGATGCTACAGTCATTACTTGTCTTCTCCGTGCTGTACTGCCTTCCTGGTGACCTACCTATATTGTGAGCGCTAATTATAATGCCCCTTAATCCCCTTCTCCCTCCCTCCCCAACCCCTTCCCTTTGGTATCACTAGTCCCTTCTTAGAGTCTGTGAGTCTACTACTGTTTTGTTCCCTCAGTTTTGCTTTGTTGTTACACTCCACAAATGAGTGAAATCATTTGGTACTTGTCTTTCTCCACGTGGCTTATTTCACTGAGCATAATACCCTCTAGCTCCATCCATGTTGTTGCAAATAGTAGGATTTGTTTTCTTCTTATCTCTGCTATGTTGTTTTGAGGTAGGGATTGAGTCGGTGGTGAGGAGCCTGCAGGGAATCGTGAGGATGAACAACACAGAGCTGCACAAGCAGGGCCTGCTGCTCTTTGCTGGGATCCTGAATCGGTGAGCAAAGGGTGGAGCACCTGGCCTGTAGGGGCCAGCCTGGAGAGGGAAAGATGTGAAGTATTTACTCATCGAAGAGTCAGTGATAGGTGTTCACTCACTCCTTCCTCATTTACCATTTCTCAGGCAGCCAGAGGAGATCAAGCTGTTCACAAGCTCAACCATGTGTGGAGATGCTGGCCGTGCCCTCCAAGAGGCAGTAAGCAGCCCTGTGCTGGAGGTGGCTGCTGAGGCCATGAAGGCCGCTTCTGCCTTTCTGAGGTGAGAGGTCCAGGTGCCTGAAACTTCCACCTCTCCATGTATGCCAGGTCAGGGCCAGGGCAGCTTCCTGGGTGTACTTGTCCTTCAGATCAGGGAAATTCTCTTAAATGTTTTTCTTTCCAATACTGTTTACTTTGTTCCCTCTTTCTGGAACTACCATTCAGATGTTGGACATCCTGGATGGTCATCTAATTTTCTTTGTTTTCTGACAGGTTTTCATCTTTTTGTCATTATGCACTAATTTCTGGGAGATTTTCTTGACCCTTCTATTAAGTGTTTTATTTCTGCTTTCATATTTTTAATTTGGAAGAGTTCTTTCCAGTTCTCTGCTTGTTTTCTTTTTTTAAGACTCTTTTTAAAAAATTTATTTAGATATTATTAATCTACAATTATATGAGGAACATTGTTTACTAGACTCCTCCCATCACCAAGTCCCCCCAACAAACCCCATTACAATCACTGCCATCAGTGTAGTAAGATGCTGTAGAATCACTACTTATCTTCTCTGTGTTGCACAGCCCT